GTTCATCCTTTAGAAAAAGTTTATTGGACACGGTTTTGCCCATATAAACATTCTCCAACTTTGTCCATGCTTCATGGGCAGTCATCCTTTCGGTGATGTGTGACCGAATTGATCTTGTGAGATGGATCTCGATGGAACTCTTGGCCTTCTTGAGAACCTTAGTCCATGCTGCGTCTGTCATGCTTGTCGGCTTCTTACCGTTGAGTGCATCATCCAAATCTTGCTGTATCAGTACGTTCTTCATCATCCTTTGCCAGTCCTTGAAGTCATCCTTGCCATCAAAAGGTTTTAACGTGGGTCCTAGATCCGCATTCATCTTCCCTTTAGACATCGTAGAACCCCTTGAACCAGGCTCTGATACCAATTGTTAAATAACTTGCTGCTGGATCTTATTCTTTAATGTAACCAACGACAATAGACTAAACTAGCAAATATTAGAAAACTTAGACACACAAGAATTATACTGGTTCGGCAAAACTTTTGCCTATGTCCAGTTGTGATTTCTCTACCTAGAGAAATCACCGCTCCTTTGATTAATAATAGAGATTACAGAACTTTTGCAAACCCTAGAACAAATCTCAAAACTCTTGGCTGTCTCTGGCTGTTTTTTCCTATCATTCTGACGTGAAAAAATGCCAATATATTTGTGTGTAGAGTAAAAATATACTATCTTTTCTCTTCTTAATGCTGCTTAATTGTTGTTTTGCTTTATCATATTTTTTATTTTTTATGAACAGTCTCATCCAACTGGAGTAATTAATATAAGAACCCTCTGCATATGCATTTTATTTATTTATTAATTAAGGATGGAGATTATGAATGAGACCTGTCATTAGTTTTTGAAATTCTTCCCTTTTTTACTTTTGGCAAAAAGTTCAGATTGAAACTATGATCCCTCATTCAAAAAGAAGACCAACAATTTTACAGGTCAGGAGCCAATCAAATACAAGGCAATTGTAGATCTGCATTCAACTTCATGGAGAAGGCTCTTGGAGATCATGGCTAAGCCATGTGTTTTACTCATGACGCCGTTCTCTTCGAATCGACTGATCATGGGCCTAATTCTGAGCGCAAAACCCAAATCTACAGTTTGCCCAATTTGCTATTGCGCGCATGTCGCTCCAGCTTTTCTTTGATTGCTTCCCTAATTTGTTCTACATCAGTTGGGCTTTTTCTTGCATTTTGACTAAGTATAAGAAGAACCAAGACATCCTTAAGACCCCATTTAGCATTACCTTATATATGTTGTTACCACACTTTATTTGGACAAGGGTGTGACATCTTTTTGTTGCTGCTGTTGTTGTTCATGTCTAGAGGGCTGCTAAAATAGTTCCTTTGTTCTCTTTGTTGCAAGTTTTAGATATTTTTGCAAACAAATGCAGATCTAAACTCATCCTATCTAGACATTTTTAAACCACCCAAAGACATCTCGGACTGAAAAGTGACAAATTCCCAACTGATAAATCACTGGCAATATTGAGCCAAAGCACCCATAATCAAGTCTCTCTTCTGCACATAAATCAACCTTTCTCCATAGTTCATTTCCCTAAACCTCATTTAATCAAGTTAACTTCTTAAACGATTACATGCTTTTCAATCTGAAAATCTTCAATTCATAACATCCATAAATATAGAAGACCAACTTGGAACATGACAAATTATATATATACTAAAGCCCAATGCAACCAGATACTATTCATAAGCACTGTTTTTTGAACAGTAAAATGACAGAAAAGACCCCGTTTCACTGTTATACAGCCTTATTTGTTTTATTCTGAACACAGTGAATTGGCGAAAATGCCCTCCGCTAAATGTATATTAATTTGATTAATTACTTGATTATGGCTGCATTGTGATATTGCCAATGTTGAAAAGGATTTATATTTGAGGGATGTTAATCAAGTTCTTAATTTCTTTTTGGGATCCCTCCTCTATAGAACTCCTGCTAATTTTAGTAAGGATGGTTAGGAACACAACCAATTGAGAGGAGCTCAAAGAAGCATTATGTGTTTTTTTTTGGGGCAGTCTGGCAACATAATATGTTTGTGTTGTTAAACTACTTAAACTATAAACTGGAGACCATATTGCCTGTACAGATTCTTCTATTGAGATTAAAATAAAACCAAATTTAAATGGAAAAAGAGACTATTTATAGCTGACCAACCAAGTTCCTCCTAATTGGCTTAAACCACCAGTTCAAAAGCCATAAACATTTTTATCACCTGGATTAAATACAAAGAATGATTTTTATTTTGTTATTAAAGTAAATCCCAGAGATTCAAAAGATATGCACAACAAATTTGTACAAAAGATATGCTCTGTGATTGGATTGAAACAAGTAGTCACAAATGTTATTACCTTCATGCCTATTTGCTCCCTCTGTTACGGCCTCACATGTAATATGTATGGATCAACTTTGGTGGCTTTCCTTCGGAAAAACAACTTGAATTTCGCTCTGTGATTTTTGCTTTGGATTTTGATGATGGCTGATATTCTGTTTTCTTCTGTCTCTGTTTGTTTTTGTTTTCCAAGATTTTTCTTTTGTTTTAGTAGTGGACTAACAAAGTTCAAGCATCTCATATAAAAACACTGCACATAAAAACATATTTGGACAGTTTTGGGACTAGAAAATCAGAAACTGCAACTTTTTCGATTTTTTTTTTGCTTTTTCTCCTCTTCTTTCTTAACCATGTCTGCTTTTGATGTTTTGTAGGTGGTGTTTTGCTGCTTTATATAGAGCTGTTTGGTGGTTGTTTTTGGTTCTGTTAAGCAAGAGGTGCGTTTCTATGTTGAAATTCCAATTTATTGTTTCGGTTATGTCAATAGAGCATAGTAATTAGCTAATGGCATCAATTGACAATTGGTTGGGATAAATTTGAACAAATTGCTATGGTTGTACAGCTGTAAATAAAGCCAAGTAATTCTTATGTGGTTTGAACCAATGACAAGCTGTTTCATGTATGATCCGTGCTTAGATACATATTAATATTTTTGACTTTTTCCTTTTAAGTTTATGGAAGATATGATGTGTTTGGAGAGGTTGTTGATTGTTGATAAGAGTGATAACAACATGATATTGCTTTTGATTATATATTAATGCCTTTTCGTGTGCTGAAGCTTTTTTCTTTTCTTATTTTTTGAGGGAGCTTTTTTAACATGAAAAAGGACATGGAGTGGTTATAAACTGCCTTTGGTTTCATTTGATTGATGTTTTGGGTTGATTTTCAGACATACATGTTTACTACAAATTTGAAGCTTGATCTTTAGATTGTTAGAAGAGACTTTGAGAAAACTCAATTGTTGAATTAGAGTATGAAATTTTGATATCTGTTTAAAGGGAAAAAAGGGAAAAACAGAAAAATGGAATTGAAAAATATAAAAAAAATCTTGATTGTTTAGGGTGACTTTTGCATGGATAACTTTTGATCATGTACTCTTTGTTTCAAATGCATCTAGGATCATTTAAACAGCCCTCTTCCTGTGCTTTTACCGTGTTTTTCTTCGAACTAGAGGTGTCAAACTAGACGGGCTGGCCTAGCATGGCACGAGCGCAAATATTAGTGGGCCGTGCTAGGTTTTTGAGAAATAGTCATAAGCCAGTGGAGTCGTCTTATGAGCATGCCTCCTTCTGATTTGATCTGATTTGAAGAAGACGACATGTACCGAGAAGTGACCTCTTGAGTTTGAGCCGGCGAGGAACGACAACGCAATTTTCGGGGTCGGAGGGTAGAAGTGGAGGCCTTATAGCAGATCGGGGACGACCTCCTTGGGACACGGCTTTGGGGTTCAATGCCGTAGAAATAGCAGCTACCATTGTAAAAACTCAAAATTCCATTCAAATCTCATCCTCCAAAGCCTTCAACCGCCCCTGCGAGTTTAGTGGCACTCACTTCTGAGAGAACGAGAAATCGTAAAATAAAATAAAATTACAAAAACAGAGAAAAGGAAGTCGCGGAGTGAGAGAAAGGAGAGGTTTCTGGGGGAGGCGCTTTTTATGTGTGCGCTTTTAGAGAGTGATCGGATGAATTTGGATTCTGGGGATGAATTCGGATGAATTTGGATTTGCATTTTTGAGAATTGTATTTGTAATTTTATTTTATTATTATTATTATTATTTTTTGCGTCGTATTTTTTTCCAGTCCTACAATCTCAACTTGGTGTTTATTGCACCAAACAACTGCTTCAAATCCAGTCATATCCTAACCAGGCCAGTGTAATATATCCAATCCAGTCCAGTCTAGCCTACCAAACGAGGCCAAAACATGTTATTAGTCTTTTTTTTGTAACTTAAACTTGCTACATATTTTCATAACTTTATACACATTTCATATGGTTTTAAAACCCGCAGCATCGTGCGGGCACCTTTGCTAGTGTAGTATTATGCACGAAAAACTACAACGGATTACAAGTAAGGACCATATAACTTTACAACCCACGGTACAAGATATTAACATAGATTTATTTCCTGAGGCACTGGCTCGAACAGAAACAAACTAATATTGGTTTAGATTTCCTAAACATACATCAGTAGCAGCAAGTCAATCTATTGTTTGTGGCATTTGTAAGTTCTTGTGCAGTAAAGACTGGTATGGGGTGGCTCTAAGTCATGGATTAGGGGTAATATATGATCTTCCTCTACAAATTTGTCTGATCCAATAATGTTCCAGTCTTTGTGGCAGTGATACATGTTTTTGTTCTCCTAGCTATTACCCTGTCTCCATTTTCATCTTGCCCTCTTACTCTAGAAAACCAATATGCTACAATTTTTAGATCACTTGCAAAGAAGAACGAAGGTAATGTCAGCCGACAACATTGCTCTGTTTCAAATTTAAAATTAGTGCGAAAATGCCATTTAGGATTTATGAAAAATGTAAAGAAGAATGAATTTTGTTTTCTTCTTTTTGGTGGAGAGACCATAAAGCTTAATATGATAAGCTTGTACCTGTTATATCAAATGTATTGTAAATTCAAGATTGATGATAAAATTAGTGGGAAACAAACGAGGAACCTTTTTGTTCTCTTATTTCTGCAAGCACACAAACAAAGTTCTACCGCCCACAATACACCAGGAACAACAAGTTCTATTTTATGAGGAACATTACCAGGAACAACAGGTCAACTGATTATCGCCCATCTCCATAAGGCGTTACCATCTGGATTTGATTTTGCATGCTCCTCTCATAATCTGCACCGATTAAAATACTACTATAACTACCGGCATCACCTTCACCTCTGATATCCACAAGTGAAGAGCTTGAAACAGGTGACCCAAGCAAGTAGTCGGTATCTTTGTGAGTTCGAGGGAAATTAGGCTTTCCTCCACTTGGATACAGTTCCATAGTTGACACTAATCCATCGAGCTCTGCAGCTACTTCTTTCATGGACGGCCTTTCTTCTCCTCTTAGCCTTAAGCATCTTTTTGCCAGATCGGCCACTTTTGTGACTCTCTCAAAGTGTCCCTCCACTATTTCATCATCAAGAATTTGACCCAAGCGATCCGAGTCAAACAAGGAAACAAAGACTTTTGCTAGGTTTCTCTCTGCCTCAGGCTTTTCAAAACAAAGAGCCCTTTGGCTTGTGAGTAGCTCCGCTAGGACAACTCCGAAACTATAGACGTCACTCTTTTCTGTTAGTATGTTTGACTGAAGATATTCAGGGTCTAAGTATCCGACTGTCCCTTGCACAAAAGTTGATAGTTTGTTTTCATCTTGATCAGGAACCAATCGTGAAGCTCCAAAATCGGATACTTTTGCCGTGTATTTTTCGTCTAATAGTATATTTGTTGCTTTCACATCTCGGTGTATGATTGGGGTAGAAGTGGAGTAGTGCAAGTAAGCTAGTGCCTCTGCTGTATCTGATGCTATCTTCAATCGTAATGGCAATGAAAGGGGTGATGTTCCTTTGTTGTTTTTCCTATGAATGTGCTCATAAAGAGTGCCATGGGCGATGAACTCGTAAACCAATATTGGTGTTTGGGTCTCCAAACAACAACCTAGGAGTCTCACAACATTTTTATGTTGGATTTGAGAAAGAACAATCACCTCGTTAACAAATTGCCTACTCTCGGTAATTGGGGCACTTACTTTGGACTTCTTTATGGCAACCACTTGTTTATTTGACAGTATTCCTCTGTAAACAGTTCCATAGCCTCCTTCACCAATTTTTTCGCTTACATGATAATTGTTTGTGGCCTTTTTAAGTTCTTCTTCAGTAAAAATTCTGGCTGCCGTCCGAACAGATCCAGCATAACTAGCCAGTTCTTGCTTTAAAAATAAGCCACCATTATCTTCAAAGTATTTTTGTTTGAGTTTGTTGAACTTTCTGTTCTTCATTTCCAGATATATACAAAAACTCGCAACCACTAAAACCAAGATGCTCAAAGGGATACCTGCAGAAATTAAAAATTGTAGTCAAAGCTGATATTCGTAATTTAATTATGGCCAAAACTCACTTTTGGTCCCCGTAGTTTGGCACTTCAACCACTTTTGACCATGTAGTTTCAATTCTATCAAATTTTCTATTATAGTTTCATAATTGTAGCAATTTGAGGACAATTCTAATTTCCATCAAGTTATTCTTATTTCTAACATCTATTGAGGGTCAAAAATGGTAAAATGGCAAAATTTGAGGATTCTTCTTAAATTGCTACATTTACGAAACTACAATATGACAAAATTGAAGAAATTAGAATTATAGGGTCAAAAATAGTTGAAGTGTCAACCTACAGGGATCAAATGTGACTTTTGGCCTTTAATTATTTATGTTATTCTTATAGTATCCTGGGGTCAGATTTCAAAACTATATTTCTAATTAAAAACAGAAATATGTAGTGTATTAACAAATCTTGTGTCTTTTTTAGCTTCAAAAGTTAGACAAACTAATATATGGCCTTGATATATGCGTTCGGATAAATTCTTTTTTAAAATTTGTTTCCCTACTATTTTGTTTCAGAATCATGAATAATTTACCATGCATAGCATATACTGTTTGTGTGTTGTATGGCCAACGTGTTTAATTAATTGGCTATAAAATATATAGGATGCATGCTTATATCTAAAATAGCTAGCTGGTTACATACCCAACGTAATTTTCAATGAAATTACAGAGGCAGATTTGATGCACGTAATTGCGTCCCGGTGTTTGTAGCCACTATTACATGAGCAAGAGTAATTTCCAGCTTGATTTTTGCACTTTCCATTGTTACAAAGGGTCGAATTCAAAGCGCACTCATCAATATCTGAAAGAAATAAGAAAAACACATATATAGATATATATCACGTATCAATTAAGAAGAATCCCCAATTATGAGCAACAATAATTAACTAGCACACGCACAAACATATGTTTTATTGCACTTTTCTCGTGTTGTGAGACTAGGATATTGTCAAACTCAGACTGTGTGTGGTTAAGATTTACAATCTAGGGTATATATATATATGTATTATTTTATATGGGTATGTATATAAAGATGGTACATATAATATACCTTGGCAACCATCTGGGAGGTAAGGGTTCCCTTGGTATCCATCCAAGCACTGGCAAAAGTAACCAGACGATGCGGACTCAATATTGATAGTCCTGTTGACACACTTGGTATTTGCCATGCATGCATAATCCCCTCTCTTTTGAGCTGCACTACATGACTCATTCCCAATTTCCCAATTGAGAATCATTGGAAGCCTTTCAGTGTTGTAGAGTTCTAGAAAACTTTTCTCCCCGGAGAAATTGAATTTGCCATCTTCCACAACGAAGGCGTAGCTGCAGTTGCTGAGGTTCCAGCTATATTCGTGATTGTAATAGCTCCCCAATGTTATAGTCTGATTTTTGGATCCGCTAGGGATGGAAGTCTGGCAACACCCGATGCCGGAGCAAGAGTCGCTAATGTTGGGAAGGCTCTGACAAAAAGATGTGCACCCACTCGTGTACCGTTCTCCTCCTTGGTAGCCTTCAAAAAGTGCATCAGTGTCGCAACCAACAGCCATGAACATGTTTTTGGTATCGGATATGGTGAAATCATCACTCGTCTGGATCGAAGAGTAGTTTTTGCCGTCATTGGTTCGCACGCCCTGTTGGTCATAACAATCTCTGGTAATAAACCTCTGTATTTGCAACTCACCTTCCTCAAGAGATATGTTAGTCACAGGGATATTACCCCAATATGCAGTTGGGGGATTGGTAGAATGGGAACAATTGATTAAAAACGTATCGTCCTTGGACTCCTTGTAACAATCTTTCTCCATGCCAAATGGAAATGGCACGGTCAGATCACCACACTTCTGGTTCAGGCACCGCGGAGGCGGTGGGGCTTGAGCTGCTGCTTCGGCTGTAATTGCAGCCGCTAATGCAACCAATACTACCACCATCACCAAAGAGGATTGCATAATAAGCCTACCCTTCCCTTGTAAGGCCATGGCCTAATGCCCTAAGTTCCTACGAGTAATTGAAAGAGAGAGAATTCAATGGTTATGGCAGCTACGTATACTACAAGTTGTATAGTTTACGTTGCAAGTAAAGAAACTGGTAGCAAGCCTGGCCTTTTTATAGAAATAGAACGAATGAAGACTTGTAATGTATGCCCACATCTAAGTCGTCCATCTTATTATTTCCAACAAGAAGTACTAAAATATCAAGCAACTACTGGGAGTGCCACATTTCTTTTTTATTTTATTTATTTGTTTCCGTTGAAACTGAGAGAGTATGACATTTCTTCTGTAAAATAATTAAATATAATTGATCAATCATTTAATTTTGTATATGGACCACCTTCTTGGAGAAATATGACTGCATTCCTAATAATATGAAATGAAATTTATAAATAATATTCTTCACTGTGGTGTGTACATACGGATTTGGTAAATACTCGGTCAAATAAATAAATAATATTTTTCCTTCATGTGTCTTTTTCTTACTTGATTGCTGCTACCATTTAATGTAATGACCAAGTCATTAGACAAATGGTATTTTGTCGAATTTTGTTTCTATAGAAAGTTTGAAATCGTGGACTTGATTAAGTCGGAATGGTGACTTTTCGA